CAATTGTGGGGGGGGAGGGGAAAGGAGGGGAAGGGAGGAGGAAGAACACGGAACAAACTCCATTGTCTAGCAGTCTATTTGTTTTAGTAAAAGTTTTTATGACACTTGCAACACAGTAACATCGTGTCAGTGCTGAAGATTAGATGTGTTACAGGAGAGTAACAAACACAAAAAAGGAGGAGAGATCAGGACCATAGACATTTGATAGGAAAAAAGGCCACAAAGAAGATTAGAAGTGTTACAAGCAAGAGAGTAACATACAAAGATTTTAAGACAGAGGAAAGATAAGAACGATAGATGTTTGATAGCATCAGCCTTATACAGTTATGATTAAAAAGACAGACATTTACACACAGTGTTTGCAAGTACAATAGGATGTCCTTAGTAGACTCACTTTTCTGGAGAGTATATGAAACTTTTGATAGTCCTACCAAAAAATGCACTACCGCTAGCTCGCCGCAATAAATGATCTCTGATGACATTTCATCTGAAGAATAATTCAGTAAAGGCAAATTCTGAAGTGAACACAAATTTAGGGAAGGAAAACGCCATAAAAATGTGAAAATACACAACGTAAGCCTTGTTAAACAAGCTAAAAAAATGTGGGTATTTTTGTTCCTTTAATGGTCAATGTTTTACAGCCCTTCACTACACTACAGATCGTTTAGGAGATGGGCTGCTTCAAACCAGGGCCTACCAGGGCAGAATAGATACACAACATCCCAGCAGACAGACTCAATTACCCCATTTAAAATTTTTAATTCAGAAATGTTCTGTATATGAGTGCAGAGAGCCAAACCGCTACACCATAGGCACTGGTCGTAGAGTCACAACATCTCGTTAATCTACAGAACCTAAACACACCCATCTTAACTAGAATCAAACGGTAAGTCTATTGCAAGCAACATTCATGGTTCCTCAGTTCTGGTGTTTATTTCAAGTAAATAGGTTAAAAAAGAGCAGCGGGTGGTTGGCAGGTGATCAGGTGTGATTTCTTATTTCTTTCCTATCAAATATCTATCATCCTTATCGCTCCTCCTTTTTTAAAAGTTTGTTACTCTCTTGTAATACCTCTACTCTTCGCCACTTATATGACTTTATTGTGTTGCAAGCGCTGTAAAACTCTTACTAAAACATAAAACATAAATATGAGCGGGACTAAAGAGAACTTTTAGACGATGAAAAACTGAAAAAGAATACTGGCTGCGTACAAATGTGAAACAGTCTCCCATCCACTCCCAGTGAACCACCAGAGCCACCGAGACGAGAGCGGCACTACCGGCACAAGCCAACCACTCACCAAAGCTGCCAGCGGCTTGGTCTGGGGCGGGGGGTGGCGGCGGAGGATGGCCAGCTCGGGGAACGAACTCTTGATCTTGTGGGCCACCGCCATGTTGGCTAGCAACATGAACTCCTCGATCAGTCTGACAGGAAATACAGTATATACGTATACAGCAACAACAGGAAATACAATATATACGTATACAGCAACAACAGGAAATACAATATATATGTATACAGCAACAACAGGAAATACAAGATATATGTATACAGCAACATGAACTCTCTATCAGCCTGACAGAGACAGAAAATGCATACAAATGTACATGTTTTTACACCCTCATTAACACAATTTAAATAACCAACAAAAAACAAAAGCAAAATAATAATAATATTTTTTAAAAATTAAAAAGTGATAATAAAAATGATCATAAAAAAAAATAATAATAGTAATAATAATAACAACAACAATAATAATAATATAATAATAATAATAATAACACTAAAAATAATAGTGATAATAATACTAAAAATAATAATACAAATAATAATAGTTATAATAATAATAATAATAATAACAACAACAATAACAACAATACTAACAATACTACTACTACTAATAATAACAATAATTACAATAATATTACAAATAATAATATTAATTATAACAAAGATCACTACTATAGTGCTTCTAATAATTAAGATCACTTGTATCGAGATAATGTGGGAAAGAAGGCATAAACCACACAAAGATCAAAAGGAGGAGGAGGAGGAGGAGGAGGAGGAGGAGGAGAAAGAGGATGATGATGATGAAGATGATGATGACGATGATGATGATGATGACGATGATTTATAAAATGTTCTAGAAAATTCTACAAGTCTCCACCCTTTTTTATTCCTTGCAGTTTACAATGATGATGATGATGAGGAGATGATGAAGTTTGTTTCATACACGTCTAAGGGTGTTTTTCCGTACTGTAAGGTTTCCCCCCCCCTCTCTCTCTCTCTCTCTCTCTCTCTCTCTCCCCCCCTCTTAACTCTCTAACCCCCATTGTCCAGTGTCCAACACTAGTGACAACTGTTTCGGTTCAGTTTGTGCTAGTTTTGGCTTGTTTTACTGATCTATTCCCGTATCAAGTTTGTTAGTAACGACTAAGCCTTTGTTTCCACCATTTAGAAGTTGGAGGCAAGTTTTTGGGGTTATAAAGAGACGTAGTGCATCAGGTTTAGGGGACTGTTGAAAAAAAAAAGCGAAACGGTGGAAAAAAAACCCTCAAGGACCTAAATAGTAAAGTCACCTGTTGCTGTCTCGCTGCTCGTAGACGAAGTATCCCTTGGGCAGGCCCGACTCTCCGTCCAGCACATACTGTAGCTTGACCTGGTCCAGACGCAGCGCCCCGTTGTCAAACCTCTGCTTCCTCAGGCTGACCGCGATCTGTGGGGAGTGTCGGGTTGTTTGTTTGTTTGTTTGTTTGTTTGTTGGGGCACAGAAGAGACGTTTGGTTTTAGTAAGAGCACTTGTAACACAATAAGGTCATATGAGTGGCAGAAGATTAGAGGTGTGACAAGAGAGTAACAAACACAAAAAAGGAGGAGGGGAGATTAAGACGATAAACGTTTGATAGGAAAGAAGGAGCAAATCACACCAGAGCACCCGCCAACCACCCCTCAACGAGGAGAGTTCAAAGTAAAGAAAAGCATATTATATAATGTTAATAACTGTAATAAAGCATACATCGTGTATGAGACAGACCTGGTTGCTTATGTGTTTAACACTGTCATATAGCTTACATAGTGTACGAGTGTGTTAATTATTGTCATAGAGCATACATCGTGTATGAGACAGACCTGGTTGCTTATGTGTTTAACACTGTCATATAGCTTACATAGTGTACGAGTGTGTTAATTATTGTCATAGAGCATACATCGTGTATGAGAAAGACCTGGTTGCTTATGTGTTTAGCACTGTCATATAGCTTACATAGTGTACGAGTGTGTTAATTATTGTCA